GGTCGCTGCTTTTCTACTATGCTGCAGCAGTAGCAGGGTCATTCCAAGAAATGAGTCCCTTTTGCGTCCCTTTGATATTTTAAGTAGAAATTGAGCACCAACATTGAATTTTAAAAGCCTGTTATATTAAATGAAGTGCCCTATAGACCACATGTAACATTCTATACCATTTGGAATAAAGACTTGCTAAAGTGCTCAAATTAAGCATTTTGGCATGTCCCTCTGTGCACTCTCTGTGACTTCTAGGAAGATTTTAACCCACTTAACCCCCAAAATTCCTTCAAGTTTTCACCATCATTGTAAAGCCCTAGTTATTTTGTTGCTTTGAAGTCATTTCTGGAGATTATTATTTATTTCATGTGATTAGTGATTCATCTTAAAGGTAAAAAAAAAACAACCTGTCCCTCATTTTAAAGGGATACTTCAGGATTTTGGCAATGAATTTTACATCCCTGCGTACAGTTTGAAGGAAGCTGCTAACTAGCGTGTTTAGTGCAATTGCTAACCAGCGTTAGTGCAATGAATGGAAGTCTGTGGTACCTGCTAGCATGCTAGTAGATGCCATAGACTTCCAGTCATTGCACTAACGCTAGTTAGCATTGGCTCACAAAACTACCTATAACTTATACTGGATGCAGAGACATAAAAATGGTATCCCTGAGTTCATCTGACTCTGGGGAAATAGATAAAGGGCCTCATTGCCAACATCCCAAAGTATCCCTTTAAGGCAGCGGTATTCAAAGCCAGGGTCAGTGGGGTCGCGGGGAAACTACAGTGGGGTTGCCAAAACGTTAAATACATTTTTGGTGAACTCAAAATTAAAAGTACAGATTATTGTATGGGACAAAATACAAACGTTATTGAGAAAGATAATTTGAAAGATACCATTTTATTGAGTAAATGTATTTATTTGTTTCATTTCATTTTAATAAGAGATGAAAATGCAATGAATTGAAGGTTATTTGTTGATATAACATCTACATTTACCGATTTTAAGGTTGTGTCAAAAGATTTGGGGTGGGGTGGCAAGAAATTATTGGGGGGAAAAATGGGGTCCCCAGAAATTTACCGATTTTAAGGTTGTGTCAAAAGATTTGGGGTGGGGTGGCAAGAAATTATTGGGGGAAAAAATGGGGTCCCCAGAAATTCTGGCGGATAAATTGGGGTCCCCGCTGAAAAGGTTTGAATACCACAGTTTTAAGGTCAATCCTGTTATGCGAAACTGAACTCTCGTTTTAATATGGTGAAACTATACCTTTTTAAATATATATTAAAAAAAAGAAACATTGAACATCTAATAGCGAAATTATAGTGTAAAAGCAGGTAAGATAGTTCTACTCTTTTTTGGCCATTTTCTGGTGTTTTGTGGTGAAAAACTGGAAAACTGAGTGGGTCGAGCGTAACACGTCAACCCTGTTACCCATAGATAGACAGGCTAGAAATGTTTTAACAATGAAAACATGTTTGTGAAGCTTGCATTCAATTGCCACTCCCTGTTGCACACAACAAGCTGCCATTCATCCTGTCACAAGGGGATTCATGGCTGATTTTAGATGAAATCGTCAACTCTGTTACAGTCAACTCTTTTTAGTTTATTAGGCACTTAATAGGCCCTTACTATGGTCATTTAATAGGCCCTTACTATGGTCATTTAATAGGCCCTTCCTATGGTCATTTAATAGGCCCTTACTATGGTCATTTAATAGGCCCTTACTATGGTCATTTAATAGGCCCTTACTATGGTCATTTAATAGGCCCTTACTATGGTCATTTAATAGGCCCTTACTATGGTCATTTAATAGGCCCTTACTATGGTCATTTAATAGGCCCTTACTATGGTCATTTAATAGGCCCTTACTATGGTCATTTAATAGGCCCTTACTATGGTCATTTAATAGGCCCTTACTACGGTCATTTAATAGGCCCTTACTATGGTCATTTAATAGGCCCTTACTATGGTCATTTAATAGGCCCTTACTACGGTCATTTAATAGGCCCTTACTATGGTCATTTAATAGGCCCTTACTATGGTCATTTAATAGGCCCTTACTATGGTCATTTAATAGGCCCTTACTATGGTCATTTAATAGGCCCTTACTACGGTCATTTAATAGGCCCTTACTATGGTCATTTAATAGGCCCTTACTATGGTCATTTAATAGGCCCTTACTATGGTCATTTAATAGGCCCTTACTATGGTCATTTAATAGGCCCTTCCTATGGTCATTTAATAGGCCCTTACTATGGTCATTTAATAGGCCCTTCCTATGGTCATTTAATAGGCCCTTACTACGGTCATTTAATAGGCCCTTACTATGGTCATTTAATAGGCCCTTACTATGGTCATTTTCGTATTTAACCTCTTGAGATGGGAAAACTTTTTTTTTCTTAAGTTGAACATGAGCTCTTTAGGACAGAATGTAAAGATTATGGGACATACACTCCACTACCCAGCCCTACTACCCAGCTACACTACCCAAGTTACACTACCCACGTTACACTACCCAGGTTACACTACCCAGGTTACACTACCCAGGTTACACTACCCAGCTACACTACCCAGCTACACTACCCAAGTTACACTACCCAAGTTACACTACCCAAGTACACTACCCAGGTTACACTACCCAGTTACACTACCAAGTTACACTACCCAGGTTACACTACCCACGTTACACTACCCAGGTTACACTACCCACGTTACACTACCCACGTTACACTACCCAGGTTACACTACCCAGGTTACACTACCCAGCTACACTACCCAAGTTACACTACCCAAGTTACACTACCCAGGTTACACTACCCAGGTTACACTACCCAGGTTACACTACCCAGCTACACTACCCAGCTACACTACCCAAGTTACACTACCCAGCTACACTACCCAACTACACTACCCAAGTTACACTACCCAAGTACACTACCCAGGTTACACTACCCAGTTACACTACCAAGTTACACTACCCAGTTACACTACCCAGGTTACACTACCCAGGTTACACTACCCAAGTTACACTACCCAGGTTACACTACCCAGGTTACACTACCCAGGTTACACTACCCAAGTTACACTACCCAGGTTACACTACCCAAGTTACACTACCCAAGTTACACTACCCAGGTTACACTACCCAGGTTACACTACCCAGTTACACTACCGAGCAACACTACCCAAGTTACACTACCCAAGTTACACTACCCAGTTACACTACCCAGGTTACACTACCCAGTTACACTACCCAGAATACACTACCCAGCTACACTACCCAAGTTACACTACCCAAGTTACACTACCCAGCTACACTACCCAAGTTACACTGCCCAAAAAGGACTCATTTTGTGGAATGACCCAGCAGCACGAGAGCCAGTGGTGACAGTCTAGTCTGGTCAGGAACACAAGGACAAGGTCAGTGATACTACACCGGGTCTCTCTACCAAAAGCCCTACTGTACATTTCTCATAGGAATCTATTCATAGCTCAGGTGATGGCTGTGTCCAGTTATTTGACACAGGAGGACAACTTAATGGTAGGCTACACTGGTCTCTCTCTACATACTAGTTGCGTCCAAAATGGCACCCTATTCACATAGTGCACTACTTTTGACAAAAGTAGTGCACTACATAAGGAATAGGCTGCCATTTCGGACATAGCCACTGTGGTGGACAATGATCAACTCTTACATTGATTACTTTAATGGCTACAAACATGTTTATCATTTGGCCATACTGTATACAACACAATGGTTGACATTTTGTGATTATTTGCTGTTTGACAGAGTAGTGAGTTTATGAGTATGACTGGGCTGTTTTACAGTAGACTACAGTTCCTGTCACACACACACACACACACACACACACAACACACACACACACACACACACAGTGGTGGAAAAAAGTATCCAGAGTATAAGTAAAGATACCTTAATAGAAAATGACTCAAGTAAAAGTGAAAGTCACCCAGTAAAATACTACTTGAGTAAAAGTCTAAAAGTATTTGGTTTTAAATATACTTAAGTGTCAAAAGTAAATGTAAATGCTAAAATGTACTTAAGTATCAAAAGTAAAAGTAAAAGTATAAATAATTTCAAATTCCTTATATTAAGCAAAACAGGCGGCACAATTTTCTTGTTTTTTAAATTTACGGATAGCCAGGGGCACACTCCAACACTCAGACATTTTACAAACGAAGCATATGTGTTTCGTGAGTCCGCCAGATCAGTGGCAGTAGAGATGACCAGGGATGTTCTCTTGAGAAGTGTGTGAATTGGACCATTTTCCAGTCCTGTTAAGCATTCGAAATGTAACGAGTACTTTTGGGTGTCAGGGAAAATGTATGGAGTAAAAAGTACATGATTTTCTTTAGGAATGTAGTGAAGTAAAAGTAAAAGTTGTCAAAAATATAAATAGTAAAGTAAAGTACAGATACCCCCAAAAAACTACTTGGCCCCACTGCACACACACACCTCATTTAAAGGAAGGATTCAGAGAGGATTCATAAACCACTTATGGGCTCAAACTAAAGGCCAACAGAAGGGACAAATACAGTCCATATTGCTTCTGTTTAGAGGTCTCTAGCGCAGCTCACCCAACTGATTTGTGAATGGTTTCCGGGGGAACGTTTTAAATAGAGTCAGGGGAGGGGTTAATATTCCCAGCAGGGAAAGTTTTGTGTGGGGTTTCCTACCAGTGTGTCGTGGCCAACATTAGCGTGAGCAGCAATAGTGCTATCCGCGGTTTGCCTTCAAAATAAAAGTCCCCCATTGAAACATGCAACGACGTTCCAACTTTGTTTAGAAATATGTAGTTCAATTGTGTCATGATTCCGCCTTTGTATCAGTTTGCGTGTTTCAATTGGGGTCTTTTATTTTGAAGGCAAACCGCCGATTCCACTATTATTGCTCACGCTAATGTTGTTCACGACACACACATGAACTTTACAACTGACTGGGTACACTACAGTTTTCAGGATCCTTTTGACAGGGTGACTTGTTCACCCAAGCAACTAGGCCTATTGACGTAGCGCGCAGAAGTTTTGGATATCATGGCCGTTGATAATCAAACTGTTGTGTACATTTCAGAACAGGTAGTTATTTTGATTTCGTGTGCCCTGTCGTTTTGGGGATCTTTACTTATTATCTGTACGTACATCCTTTGGCCAGATTTGAGGACAACGCCGAGGACACTTCTGGTCTTCTTGTCCGTGGCTGACTTTTTGTCTGCGGGCTCGTACGCATACGGAGTTTGGAGTGTCTTTGAATCAGACTCTGTGGATTGCGTTGTTCAAGGAGCGATATCTACTTTCGCCAACACAAGTTCGTTTTTCTGGACTGTCTCTATCGCTATATATCTGTACATTTTCATCGTCAAGTCGAATCAAAGACTAGCTGACAGCTTCGTGTTATGTTTTCACGTTATCAGGTGGGTACGTGCGCTCGATTCATTTTCATAACCTAATCATAATAATAACAGTTGTATAAACTGTAAAATGTTTTGATTGATTAGATTTGAGTTTGGGATAGGGTCTGTGAAAAATCAAGGCCAAGAGTCACCTGATCCAGCTATTTTGTTTCTCTACTCTAGTATGACGCGTTTATGAATATTCATGAGGAATACATCACCTTCCAATACCTGGGAATTTGAGCACTTCTGACATGAGGTTACTTCACCATGTAACATTTTAATTCCGCGTTCACATGCTAGTCGCAACTAGGAAACTGACATTTCCAACTTTCTAACTTGTTGTGGTTATACACGTGCTGCGTTCAACTAATCAGCAAGTCGGACATTTCCGAGTTTTCTAGTTCCGACAAACATGTGAACGCGGCATGTAAATGTGTCACCTGGTATTGTACATATCATAGACGCATTATACATTGTACTATATGCTGTAGTGTAAACTATTCATACTGTTTCAAACATTCTGAAAATTAGACTCTGAGCATCTTAGGGGCTGCACCCCTACTGTCTCCTGTTTACTCAATTAGGCTAAATGAACACTCAATGAATGCGCAATTAATACCCAATGACACATTAGAGCATGTTCTGCACTACACCTTACATCCAGTCCTTTGAAATAGAGTAGTTGAATAGAATATACACCACAAAAACACATAGTAGGTTTCTTATTGATAAACAATACAGAAAGGGTAGTCTGCTTTTGGACAATTCTTCACTGAGTTATTTTTTTTGTGTGTATAACACCAAAAACCCTTTCTCCACCCCAGGGCCCAGGCAATGGACATGCCTGGCAACAAGGTGTGTTGTGCTCTAATGTTCTATGATGAATTCTCCAGTGATCCCTTTTTCCATTGAACCTCACACACAACAAGGCCATTCATAGTACATGAATAACAAACATACATATTTGTATGAGCCAAGTCAGACTTTGGTTCGAATACTATTTGAAATAATTTGTAATACTTTATCTGGCCTTGACTGAGCTTGCCTGTCGCAATGGAAGCAATAGAATAGTTGCAAAAGTGCAAACCCCAGCCTGCCCATCCTGCACTCCAGACAGACTAGAGCAAACGCTGAAATTATTTGAAAGATGTTGAATAGGATTTGAGTTTTCTGTAACATGGGATGTGACCCAAATGGCACCCCATTCCCTACAGTGCATTCAGAAAGTATTCAGACCCCTTCCCCTTTTTCCACATTTTGTTACGTTACAGCCTTATTCTAAAATAGATTAAATTGTTATTTTTCCCTCATCAATCTACACACAATACCCCATAATGACAAAGCAAAAACAGTTTTTTTGATTTTTTTGCAACTGTATTAAAAATTAAAAACGGAAATAACACATTTACATAGGTATTTAGACCCTTTGCTATGAGACTCGAAATTGAGCTCAGGCGCATCCTGTTTCCATTGATCATCCTTGAGATGTTTCTACAACTTGATTGGAGTCCACCTGTGGTAAATTCAATTGATTGGACATGATTTGGAAAGGCACACACCTGTCTATATAAGGTCCCACAGTTGACAGTGCATGTCAAAGCAAAAACCAAGCCATGAGGTCGAAGGAATTGTCAGTAGAGCGCCGAGACAGGATTGTGTTGAGGCACAGATCTGGGGAAGAGTACCAAAAAATGTCTGCAGCATTGAAGGTCCCCAAGAACACAGTGGCCTCCATCATTCTTAAATGGAAGAAGTTTGGAACCACCAAGACTCTTCCTAGAGCTGGCCGCCCGGCCAAACTGAGCACTCGGGGAGAAGGGCCTTGGTCAGGGAGGTGACCAAGAACCCGATGGTCATTCTGACAGAGCTCCAGAGTTCCTCTGTGGCAATGGGAGAACCTTCCAGAAGGACAACCATCTCTGCAGCACTCCACCAATCAGGCCTTTACGGTAGAGTGGCCAGACAGAAGCCACTCCTCAGTAAAAGGCACATGACAGCCCACTTGGAGTTTGCCAAAAGGCACCTAAAGGAATCTCAGACCATGAGAAACAAGATTCTCTGATCTGATGAAACCAAGATTGAGCTCTTTGGCCTGAATGCCAAGCGTCATGTCTGGAGGAAACCTGGCACCATCCATACGGTGAAGCATGTTGGTGGCAGCATCATGCTGTGGGGATGTGAGAGACTATGTGAGAGACTAGTCAGGTTTGATGAACGGAGCAAAGTACAGAGAGATCCTTGATGAAGCTCCAGAGCGCTCAGAACCTCAGACTGGGGTGAAGGTTCCCCTTCCAACAGGACAGTGACCCTAAGCACACAGCCAAGACAACGCAGGAGTGGCTTCGGGACAAGTCTCTGAATGTCCTCGAGTGGCCCAGCCAGAGCCCGGACTTGAACCCTATCGAACATCTCTGGAGAGACCTGAAAATAGCTGTGCAGCAATGCTCCCCATCCAACCTGACAGAGCTTGAGAGGACCTGCAGAGAGGAATGCAGGTGTGCCAAGCTTGTAGCGTCATACCCAAGAAGACTCAAGGCTGTAATCGTTGCCAAAGGTGCTTAAACAAAGTACTGAGTAAAGGGTCTGAATACTTATGTAAATGTGATATTTCAAATTTGTATTTTAATACATTGTGTGTAGGATGATGAGGGGGGGGCTATTTAATCCATTTTAGAATAAGGCTGTAACGTAACAAAATGTGGAAAAAGTCAAGGGGTCTGAACACTTTCTGAATGCACTGTATATAATGCACTGGTCAAACGTAGTGTACTATATATGGAATAGGTACCATTTGGTCGCAGCCATTGTTGTTGAGGCCCTTTTACTAGGAGCTGAAAGGAATGAGTCCAAAAATATACTTAAATTCTCTGAATGATAAATTATATAATGAGTCATGAAATGTTAAGAGTGAATTTAAGATGTTGGCCCTCGGTGAGTGGAAGATTACCTGAACATGCAGGGTGTCACACTCTCCCCAGAACTGCTGATGTGAGCTACAGCGTCACAAGTGGACTACCGACTGACTGATCTACAAATCACCTTGCATCATAAATAACAGCTCATTATTATTTGTAGATCAGTCAGTCAGTTACCCTTGGATCATCCATGCATCATGGATTTGATTCTCTCAAACACGGCCAACATCTCATCTTGGGAAATGTTAGCCTAGATCCACACTGAGTTGTTCTGTTTTCGTGTAGTTGAAAGGATAGTGAAAAAATAAATTCAGTTTGCGTACAGGCTACTGAAATGTAACACTTTATGACTTTGTGTGACTAGTGTGACTTTGCAGGAAGCAAGTTGCAGATTTGGTGTTGCACTTTCAACATCGAGGCTATATAGAGCGAGGCCTGTTTTCAACATTCCTTGGTAGCATGCATAGTTGCACAAAATGATCACCAGACTTTTGAGGAAGTGCGTGGCTGGCATTCTAGTCAGGAGGTTCACAGTGATATGTTCATTAATTCCTTCATCTTCTTCCTGCTCATCCACTTCCTATTCCTCTTCCTCCTCCTCCATCTCTCCTCCTCCTCCTCCATCTCTCCTCCTCCTCCATCTCTCCTCCTCCTCCTCCCCCAGCTGGGGCATCCCTCTAGGCATCACAATAGCAGCTCTGTCTCTGGGACGTATTGGCTACGATGCATCGGAGGTGTCTGTGGGCTGGTGCTGGGTGAGGATCCAGGCTCCAGACCATGTCCTGTGGATGCTGCTCACTGGGAAGATATGGGAGTTCCTGGCCTATCTCACCCTCCCTGTCCTCTATATCCTCATCAAGAAACACATCCACAGAGCGGTGAGGATCTGTTACAATCTAAACCCCAATACTATTGATAAGTGTAAAAAAGGGTTGAAATTTGGGGAGGAATACATGGAAAATGTTTATAATTTAGAGAAATGAAAGTGGTTTTTTTTAGCTGACTATATGATGATTTTTTTTTCTTCTCTATGTCGTCCAGCATGCGGCTCTGTCTGAGTACCGGCCCATCCTTGCCTGCAGTCCTCTGTCCCAGTCCCTTTCCAATATGGCCGACAGGAAGTTGACCCTGATCCCCGTCATCTTCATCGCCCTGCGTATCTGGAGCACCGTGCGTTTCCTGCTGATGCTGGCTGACTCCCCCGCCAGGCAGAACCCTGTGCTCGTCACTCTACATGTGAGTTTGGGTTGGCATATCTCCAGTACTCTTGCGTTGCCATATTTCCAAGTCTCTTGTTCGTTGACTGTAAGTCGCTTTGGATAAAAGCGTCTGCTAAATGGCATATTATTATTATTATTATTATTATTATTATTATTATTATTATTATTATTATTATTATTATTATTATATTATTGCCAGAAATCAAGGTTCTATCCCCACCAATGATTCTCTAAACATGCCACAGGTATGTGTGCAGCAGGGTTTCTGTTTGAGGGTAATAGACAACTTTTTGTCCGATAGAAAAGCCGATAAATTAAATTGGCGCTGGCCAATTGTCCGGGAGAAGAAGAATAAATCCCATTGCGAAATAATTCTTTTTAGCCTCTTCATTGGTGGAAACACCAGTCGATGGAAATACATTTGATTGGTCATGCTTATCGGTCTATAGATTAATTTGCATAATTTAGTTGGAATTAAATTGGCGCGTGTGTACAGTATATCTTATTTATCACAGGCAGACAGATACAGAGCTGCTGCAGCATCTTGTGGTGCTTTCAAGACAACTGGGAACTCGGAAAAATACGAGGTCAAATCATGACATCGGTGATCTTCAGGTCGGAAAGTTGGAGCTCTAGAAAGAGGCTCGAAGTTCCCAAGTTGGATGACCGTTGAAAAAACGACTTTTCCCCCCAGTTCCCAGTTGTCTTGAACGCACTGATGTCGGAGATTTCCGAGTTCCCAGTTGTTTTGAACGCGGCATCAAACGATAACGGAAGGCAGGCTTCATCAGCGCGTCACACACCACTTTCCAATGAGCTGGAGGCAGTGTGCATTTTGTCAACATATACTTCATTGTTTGAAACCTGAAGGTTTTAATCCATATTATGAGGCATGTTTTACCTTGCTTCAAAGTAGCCTATTAGATCTCCTCTCTTCTAAATTATTTCCAGATATTTTCATCTCTGTCACATGAAACTGCTCGCATTTGCAGTGTGCCCTTTTTGACAACGGTGTTTTCCCGCTAACTGCATTACGTAACGAACATTAACGCGTAGACTACGGCCTTGTGCGCGCGTTGCTGCGCTTATAATGTGAATACTTTATCAAAATGTTAAGCTAACCGTTCTGATATGTTGCATCAGACTCATTGCTTTTTACGTTTTTTTTAAATTGTTTTTTTATGTAGCCTACTGGTTGTATGAATTTGGGATCTATTGTCCCAGAGTCTGTTTGGAACAGGCTATTTGTTTCTCGACAAGTTGACCAATAGAATAGGTAGCCTAAACTTTTCTACTGTAGTAGATTGACACAGGCTAGTGATTTTGCTGTTCATTATTCGTCTTGTTGGCTGAGGAAAAGTAAATGTGGACAGTTATTCTAACATGTTCATAGTGCGCATCAGAATTCGGTAAGAAGGACCGCACATCTCAACTTGCATGTTCTGTTAATATAAATTACCATATTCTAAATGTGATTTCTGTCATTCTGAGCACAGTGGGTGGACACCCGAATCAGGTTACGCACCCGGTAAAATGTCCGGTAAATTAAAATGTTGCCGGTCAAATGTCCAGCCCCACATTTTACTAACGGAAACCCTGGTGTGCCGTATAAGAACCTTTGCAACAAATATCAGTACCTAACGGTCTTTATCCATCCACCATCTTTACATTCATCCTCTAGTCATATATCCATCCGTCCATAAATAGTTTTATCTGTTTCTCTAGGGCATTGGAAACACCTTCCAGGGAGCGGCAAACTGCATCATGTTTGTCCTGTTCACCCAGCCGATCCGCTCCCGCCTCTCCACCATGTTCTGTTACTGCTGCTGCTGTTGCAGGGCCGGGTCCGGGGCCTCCCTCACACCCTCCAACACGCCCAACCACAGGACCGGGGCCTCCTACAACACACCCAACCACAGGACCGGGGCCTCCCCAAAACCCTACAACACGCCCAACCACAGGGACTTGGGCCTGGAGTCAGGCCTGGGTGTGGAGACCCCCTCACAACCAGAGGACAACCCCAATACCAGCCCTCGTGGCTGGCCGGACGGCTGCTGACCCTGGGTCTGAATGGATGGACAGAGCACACTCACAACCCTGGCTTTCTGAGACCCTTTTCACACTATTGAACCGAGCCGAGCTGTACTTGGCTGGCCTGGGTTACACATCGTCCGCTATAGATGCCTGGTGCGGAGTGAAGGGTAGGTCTAATGGATACTGAGAGAGAGCGAGAGGGGTTGGAAACAAGCTTCCATACTGCAGTCCACTCATTACCGCAAGTGCCCCCCCCCCCCCGTGGCCCGCACAGGACGGTCGCAAATTCTGCAGACGCGTGCTCGTTGTAAGGCCTCACCTGACAAGCCACACACTCACATGCACTTTAGGTGATAAGGATGATCGAAGCATTGTCATTTTGGAAGAGATTACTTGCTGTGCTCAGTCACTAGCATTGGACGTTCCATAAGGGTGATTGCAAGGTCATTTTAGTGGTGAGGTTGTGTGTATATAGGGGCTCTGTTCAAAAGTTGTGCACCTATATAGGGAATAGGGTGTCATTTGGGACGTACGCGTGTGTGTGTTTTTTATAGCGCTCTAACATCAATGTCTTCCTATTCTTGTGTTTAATTGGAGCAACAGAAACTGCACAGTGCAATTTAATATTGTTATTTTTTTATACTGGGTTATCTTTCAGTTACTTTATAGCATTGTTAACAATGTACCTCGTATATCAAATGAATGTTACATCTACTATTTTGGAAAGATGGCACCATATCACTACCACCTGTAAAGTTTACAAAAGCCACAACCTACTGAAAGATAGAGTTGAATTTGGCTAGACAATGCTCCTATGTGAGAGTTCTGAAAAGAGCTCTCACTGAACGTGCGGTATATTGGTAAAGAGGAAAGTGAAGTTGTGTCCTTATCCATAACAATCAACTTGACCATATCTCTGTATACACCTCTTTTTTAACTGGATGTTTTGAAATGTAAATCTATTAAAGACTAATAAATCCACTGAAGACTGACCCTTGAGCTACCACTATCGTTTTTCCCTGTCAACTAGATGTCTTTGAACAATGTATTTTCATTAAGGGATTCATTGCTTTTTTTTGCAGAAAAATAACATTAAAGCCTGGTCAAAAGCAGTGCACTAGATGGGGAAATAGGGTGACACTTTGGATGCAGATGAAGTGCTGCTGTGTTTAGGGGGAGAACTGCTCTCAACCAGGAGTGATTTATTGTTTTGTTGATGATGCAGACAAAGTGCTGCTGTGTTTAAGGGGAGAACTGCTCTCAACCAGGAGTGATTTATTGTTTAGTTGACCTTTCCAGAGGTGAAGTGGCTGCTGCAGGAGTCACTGATTTGAAAAGGGAGGATGGTAAGCCAGTTGATTTATTGATCTTTCTGTGGTCTCTCTGAATGTGATTGATTAGACACGTCATGTGAAGGAAAAATAGGAAGTTTTTTTTTGTTGTCGTAAGACACACACACAATAGTTGTTGTGTCTCTGGCTTTGTGGATGTGGTCCTCCTTTGTGGGCAGTCTAACACTGTGTGTGATCAGTCAGCCCTTCTCCTTTTTATACCGTAACCAAAACATACAGTCCCTACATTGTGCTGTTGATATTGCAGTTGAGTTTTCCCTTACAGAGTCTAATTTATTTTTTGGGTCAGCAAACAATGGATTATTTGTTTTTATGAAAAACAACATCTAATGCCTGAGGATAGACCCTATTCTAACCTGGTCCCAGATCAGTTTGCGCTGTCTTCCCAACTACCATGGTCATTGCATTGGAGACTGCTGATGGGAGAATGGCGCGTATTTTACATTTTTTACATTGACATTTTTAGTCATTTAGCAGACGCTCTTATCCAGAGCGACTTACAGTTAGTGAGTGCATACATTTATATTTTTTATTTTTTCCATACTGGCCCCCCCGTGGGAATCGAACCCACAACCCTGGCGTTGCAAACGCCATGCTCTACCATAACGGCTGGAACATAGCGAATGGAATGGCATCAAACACATGGAAACCACGTGTTTGATGTATTTGATACCATTCCACTGCATCCATCACCACGAGCCCGTCCTCCCCAATTAAGGTACACCAGCCCCCCTGTGGGTCATTGTCACATCATAGGAGTTTTCTGTAGATCTGGGACCAGGCTAGAAAGACCCACGCCTGTCCTTGTGGGAGGAAAGGCTATGGTCATACATATCAGTTCTGTTTTAGATGGCCTGGCAGTTAGTCTCGAGCCAGCAACCGGAGAGTTGCCAGTTCAAATTCCGCATCTGACAGGAAGAATCAGGCGGGAATTGAGCTGTCAACCATAGGGTTGCTGGTATCAAATCCTAGATGCCATTGCCTGCTGTTTTGCCCTTGAGCAATGCACCTAACCCACCACCACAACTGCTCTACGGGCATCCACTGTGGCAGTCCCCCTCTCCAACCTGTACGTGTGTGTGTGTGTTTCAGATGGGTTGGGATAGAACGGAAGTCCCATTTCGGTTGGACCTTGTGTACAATTGACAAATAAAGGGATCTTAATCTTATTGATATCATTGAAATATTATTTTCTTCCTGCTATATAGTATAGTTTACCTTTGACCTATAGCCAGCAGTCACATTGACAAAGCATGATGATGGCTTGGAGGCTGTTGAGGAAGTGCAGGTCCTCGTCCCAAATGGCACCCTATGTCCTATAGAGTGCACTACTTTTGACCAGCCTAGGTCTGTTTATGCTGATGAAAACGGACAGTAAATAGTTTCGTACCCTTGAGGACAACCAGAGACTGAGGGGGGGGGGGGGAATGTAAAGACACTACTGCATTTTGTCCATGGATGCGTCCCAAATGGCACCCTATTCCCGACGTAGTGGGGTCAAAAGTAGGGCACTATGTAGGGAACAGTGTGCCATTTGGGATACTATGACTTAATCCTTTGTATTGGTCTGGGGAGTGAGTGGGCACATTTGGCTGACATTGAAACGGCTTTATCCCAGAGAGAGGGATGGTATGTGTTTTTTTTTCTCTCTGTCTGGTTGATGGCTATCGACCCACTTCATTCATTAACTTATGACTGGGACCTATTGGAGCGGAGGGGCTGAGGGGAGGACCCATTTACAGACCATGTTAATGCAAGGCCTTCTACTCACAACGGTGTTCATTACAGTGTGGTGATGGCCCTTTGAACCAATGCCTGGTAGAATGTATTAGGCCGAAGGTTGAAAAAAAAGGATTGGGTCAAAACGTGAAATATCTCACTTGTTAATTAGGAATGAGATAGATGTGATGACTGAGTGATGTTTTCGCCACAAACTAATGAGAGATACAAGAACGACAGCGTTCCATGCTGAAGGTGGTTGATAATAACCTGGTCTCAGATCTATTAATGTAGTCTTGCCAACTTGGCAATTAAATGCAGACCAAAGACAAAAGTTTTCAATCTAGCTAACAGCATTGACCTCTAATAGTACACAATACATGTGATTCAAACATAGTGGTTCGGGTTAACTAACTTCCTGGAGAAGGTAGATTGCCCAATGCCTAGTAGATCGAAAGTGCCATCTTCAGGGCATAACCGGTGTGCACACTGTCTGCCTCCGCAACTACGCACAGTCTATGCTCTGGAACGCCTCTGTGGTTTAGCACTGTGTAGACACTAACTAGTCCATAGAGCTGGACTAAAATATATGGCCAGTGGGGGGTGCCAACATTCTCTGCAAATGATAAATTAAGGGTAACACCAAAGACAGTACAGTATGAAGATAGGCTAAAACTGCTTCTCCAATAGAAATCCCCGATCACACCTGTAGGCGATGTCATGGCGACGTTGGCTCGATAAGCGCATGCGTATCAACACGTCATCGTGTCTCCACATGTGCAGGCGGTCAAATCAAAGGCACTCCTTCGATATGAAGTTGTTTTTGACAAAAAAAGAAAACGTGTCAGTTTTCTCACTTTCACAAGGTTGGAGTAATAACATGTTCAACTACTTAAGACATTGGCTCTATTAGAGATTTATTATTCTCCTAAATTGATGGGATGACTAACTTAGAAAGAATGCATTCTTGACTGGGCTAATGTAGGTTGTGACACCTGGCAAGCTGTGATTGATGTGAAGAGCTGTTTTAGGGGGTAAAATGAGATAAGGATTTGTGTCTCCAAATGCTAGACTATACTGGTTCTTTGTGATCTGTGAACCTTCCTTGGACGTAGGAATGGTGTCTAGGGGAGCTGGCTCTTCTCACTATGACAGGTTGTTATGATAAACGTATGCCTGGTAACAGAAGAGGCGGGGAACAGCCGGTGCGCCAACGGATAGGCTGAGTAAGTCTAAACCACGCTCAAGTCTCTACTCTGATTGGCCAGCAGAGAGGTGGGAAACTCTCTCTGTCAGAGTATTTGAGCAAGAACCTAGAACAATGGATTAGTTCTCTGAAGTGCCCTGCGAGGTATTTCAAAGAGCCCGTATATACGAAACGTCATATTTACCATTGAAGGTTTTTTCATTAATTAAAATAACTAGTATATCTTAGAAGTTGTGTTGACCTCTTTTGTTCCCAATACCAGATTTGAATTGACGCAACTTTGACAGCTCGAAATCTAGGTCGTGCCTTTAGATTTCGATAAAATTAACAACTGGTCTGTTTCGCAAGTGTTCCCTGAAGTCTCGTGATGTTGCGTCTCTGGGTTTAGAAACTCTGTGGTAGTATTGTAGTTTTCCACTACATGCCACTAGGACGTCATACATGCATTATGATCCTAATACATAATAGCTGTGTTTTGCCTGTGCTTGTTGATTGAATAACTTGACCAGGACTGGCTTTAATGTGACTAAAATATTATTTTGTACATGGGTTACATCACAATTTCACACCATTTAACCAACAATCGGTGAATTCAATAACTAACTGAGAATGCATTTTAAAACAATCTACTGATGTAGGATCTTAATTTCAGCCAGTTTGCTACAGCAGGAAAATAATCCTGCAGCAACAGGAAATGTAAATTATGATGTGGATTATAATTAATGGACATTTCAAAATGGAAATTACAAACTTCAGAAGCCTTTTTAAACCTAAAATACACTACATGGCCAAAAGTATGTGGACACCCCTTCAAATTAGTGGATTTGGCTATTTTAGCCACACTCTTTGCTGACAGGTGTATAACATCGAGCACACAGCCAGGCACTCTCCACAGACAAGCATTGGCAGTAGAATGGCCTTACTGAAAAGCTCAGTGACATTCAACATGGCACTGTCATAGGATGCCACCTTTCCAACAAGTCAGTTCGTCAAATTTCTGCCCTGCTAGAGCTGCCCCGGTCAACTGTAAGTGCTGTTATTGTGAAGTGGAAATGTCTAGGAGCAACAACGGCTCAGTCGGGAAGCAGTAGGCCATACAAGCTCACAGAACGGGACCGCCGAGTGCTGAAGCGCGTAGCACTTGAAAATCGTCTATCCTCGGTTGCAACACTCACTACCGAGTTCCAAACTGCCTCTGGGAGCAACGTCAGCACAATATCTGTTAGTCGGGAGCTTCATGAAATGGGTTTCCATGGCCGAGCAGCCGCACACAATCCTAAAATAACCATGTGCAACGCCAAGCGTCGGCTAGAGTGGTGTAAAGCTCGCCGCCATTGGAATCTGGAGCAGTGGAAACGCGTTCTCTTGAGTGATGAATCACGTTTCACCATCTGGCAGTCCGATGGACGAATCTGGGTTTTCACATTTTCACTTCCGTTCACAGAACGTTCAAAAAACGTT